TGGGTTCAAGCCCCATGTCTGGACTGACAGCTCAGAGCCTGGAGTCTGCTTTTGATTCTCTCTCTCTCTCTCTCTCTCTCTTTCTCTCTCTCTCAAATAAATAAATAAACTTAAAAAAAAAAAAAAGGCTGTGGCTTCTAGTTCTTGGACCCCCTTCTTTGTCCAGAAGTGCACAGGCCTAATGTGGAGCCGATTGGTTTCTACTCCCAGGAAATTCCAGATGCAAAGCTGCCTCTCTCAAGCCTGTGATACTTGTTGAAGATGTGAAGTGCTAGACTCTGTTAATACTGCAACCAGCCAAACTACTTAGGCTTAATGGTTGACTACTAGGCTTAACTATTGATGGCAAAAATAGTTTCCCCTGTCTGTCAGTTTTAAGAAAGAGGAATGTTCCAGGAAGGACTTTAATGATGGTGGACAAACCTTGTCACTTCTTTGAATCTCCAGAAGGGGCGCCATGATATCATTTTTAAAATTTGAAAACCCACTCCACTGCTGAATGCATGCTACCTGGCTCCTAACTATCATTAACTTTCCCTTCTAGAAGAAGGTAAGACCCTTTAAGACAAGGAGCTTAATCATTTTTGTGTCTCTCAGGGCATCCACTTGATGTTGTGGAATTTAGGGAGCACCATTTATCTTGTAGACATCATGGTTTTCCAGAGATGGCAGTAGAGTGGCTAAAGAAGCCAAGTCTTTTACTTATTCATGATAAAGACACCATATTGGCTTGGATGACGCTGGCACTTCCAATACTCAGCACATAGAGGATACTCAATAAATATCTGCTAAATACTTTCTCCCAACATGAACATGTCAAATATACAGAAAAATTGAAACTGGATATCTATTTAACCTTATATAGATTCTAGATTCAGTACATGTGAATTTTTGCTATGCTTGCTTTGTGTGTGTGTGTGTGTGTGTGTGTGTGTGTGTATTTATTTTTGCTGAATCATTTGAAAGTTCATTGCAATCATCATGACACTTAACCCATAAATATTTCAGCAAGTATCTCCTAAGAATTAGGACATTCTCCTCAACAACTGCAATTCTACTATTACATCTAAGAATAATTAACCATTATTTCCTAATATCACTTAATATCCAGTTGTAGAAGCTGGTGTTGGTGCCTTGTCCACGTCCCCTTGGCCTGACTGCAAATATTCCCATATCGCAAAAAGTTCCTGAGTGTCTCTCCTGGAACATTCATGTCTAGATCAAAAGAGGGCACTCCCCCCTCATAGGATGGTCTGGCGATGCTGGGGAGTCAATACGCCAAGAGTATTCCTTAACCAAGGATGGAGAGAAGTTAGTAGATAAGCACCCACTCATTCCCCTCCTGAGTGCTCCACAGAACCTGTCAAAGGGTCCACAGTGACAGTTGCCCACAGCGGTGACCTGTCCATTAACACACACCCTTTCTTAGTTGCCCTTCCTTCCCTCTCTCATTTCCTTACTGTGTTTCCTGAGATTACCTTTAAATAAACTACCTGCAGCCAAAGCTTTTGTCTTAGAGTCTGCTCTGGAGGGACCCAGAACCAAGACATCGATTCATCGCTAAATTCATTTACAAATGGTGATAGTAAAGCAGACTGCTCTTAGATCCACCGAGAAGCAAACTCAAAACCTCTTTATGGGGCGCCTGGGTGGCTCAGTCGGTTAAGCTTTCGACTTCGGCTCAGGTCATGATCTCACAGTTGGTGAGTTTGAGCCCTGCATCGAGCTCTGTGCTGACAGCTCAGAGCCTGGAGCCTGCTTCAGATTCTGTGTCTCCCTTCACCTCCTCTGCTCATGCTCGGTCTCCATATCTCCTCAAAATAAATAGACATTAAAAAAAAAAACCTTCTTAGAAGGTGCTTGCAACTTAGCAACAGAAACTGCTCTTAGTTTAAATGATTCTTACTGGAACAATGCTGTATATGAAAGCTGTGTGTTTATTTATTACTCCCTGCCCAGCCTGTATTAATAATAATAATAATAATAATAATAACAATAACAATAGCTACTGTAAATTAACAGCTTCACATACTTTATTTCACCTGATTCTCACGGTGACTTTGTAGGGAAGGCACTATTATTATTCCCATTGTATTGACAAAGAAGTTGAGGCTCACAGAGATTACACAGCTTTTTAGAAGTCACGTAACTAGGAAGAAGTAGGTCTCTTCTGGTATGCCTACCCAATGTGTTAAAATGTGCAGAGAACCATTAATATTCTTTATCTTATTCTTCCATAAATGGGGACAATAGTAGTAGCCAGACAACACTGGATAATACAGTGTAGTAACACCACAAACATACATATTTTTTTAACCAACAAAAACATGTTATCTTCAACTGCGAATTCTTGGAAGTATAACACAAGGATTCCCCAATCATGTGAGAGTCTCAAAGGGATAAAACTTGTCCCTGTTGTGCTTGGCTTAGTACAGCTTATGCACTGGGCTGGGGTTACCAGCATTGCTTAAGTTGTGGACTCTTCCGATATTTTGGCTGCCATGGTCAAGTTAGATAACTTTGATAGTTTGACAGCCTGAGAATGGTAATGAGGCAAGGCTGAGGAGAGGGTAGGTTTTTACAGCAGCCAAAATATTGGAAGACTCCACAGCTTAAATAATGCTTGAAAAGTATCACTTCTTACTGGTAACCCAAGCCGAGTGCATTATCTAACTTGAACATGGAAATGTTCAGTGAAACTTGCTACAAATTTTTGCACAAGGTCAGGTTCTCTTGGAATAATTGCATCCCTGTTAGTAATATCTGGCCCCACCTAGTAATTTACGGACACATGAAAACAGATCTGAGGAAAATGTCTTTCCCAGTTAGTGTCTTCTCTAAGAATCCATAAAAAGAAACGGACTTTGAATCCAATTTATCTTGTGTACTTGACCCTACTGTCATAAAGTGTTCAAATTCAAGTATTATAAAGATGCTAACAGGCACAGAATTCAGGGCTCCCAGATGAAGAAGCAATTGGCCAACGAAGTCACCTTTTCAGAGCTTAGCAGGTAAGTGGTAAAACTTTTGTCTTCTATGTAGAGAATCGTAAAAATTAAAAACAAGTCAAGTAAGGGAAATTCATTTTGAAAAGGCGCTGTCTGATGTGGTAGAAGGGAAGGGGAGACATCAGTCCTCCTCTTTAATTAATAGGGTAGCGTATGGTCAGCAATTATTAGGTACCTACAGTGGACAGTGCTTGAGAAAACTCTATTACGACCAGATTCTGAAATCATCACTGTGACAGTACTAGGACGGAAATCTTTTCTTGGCAAAGTTTTAAAATTACGGCAGAATTGATGTTAGTACTAATTGCATCTTATTGAAATATTGGTGCAGGCTTGCCAGCCACAAAGGGTGAGTCTGGCAGGAATGAAGCTTGCTCTTGTCAGAACAGGCCTGGGGCGGAGAGAGGCAAAGCCCGCCTAATGAAATCGTAGGAATGTTACAGCTCTTGAAGGTTGATATTTGGATCAAGGGGACGAAACTCTAAGTCGCTGAGGTCTGTAGAGTGACCGGGGCTCCAAAGGGATTAACAGCAGCTTCTTAAAGAGGAAAAGAATATCAATCTAGGCAGTGTGGTGGTTAAGAGTCTGGCCCTGGGAGTCCTGGGTTCGAATCCTAGCCCTGACATTTACTGTCTTTGGAACCTTGGGCAAATTATATAATCTCTCTAAACCTTTAGAAATAAACTCAAGAGGGTTGTTAGGGACGTCACTGCGATTGGAATAATGTATGTGAAGTGTTTAGCACAGTACCTGTTGCATAGAAAGCATTCAACATGTGTTTCTATCACATTCATTGTGGTACTCTAGATAGCAAGTAATAAATATGTGTTTTTCCTAGAGAATATCTTGGAAAAGGGGTGGCAGCAGCAAGAGCACAAAAGGGAAAAAGGAGGACTTGGTTATCTATTATTCTTAGTCTATTCTGGGTTGAGGGAAATGGGTATTCTGAGGGATCGGGGAGGGATGGGGAAAGCAAAGAGATTAACTTGGTTTAAGACTAGAGACTTGGGGGGGGGGCGCCTGGGTGGCTTAGTCGGTTAAGCGTCTGACTTTCGCTTAGGTCATGATCTCGCGGTTTGTGGGTTCGAGCCCCGCGTCGGGCTCTGTGGTGACTGCCGGCTCGGAGCCTGGAGCCTGTTTCAGAGTCTGCATCTCCCTCTCTCTCTGACCCTCTCCTGCTCGCGCTGCCTCTCTCTCTCCTAGAAATAAATAAAACATTAAAAAATTAAAAAAAAAAGACTAGAGACTAGGGGCACCTGGGTGGCCCAGGTGGTTGAGCCTCCAACTCTTGATTTCAGCTCAGGTCATGATCTCACGGTGAGTGAGTTTGAGCCCCATGTCTGGCTTTTTTGCTGACAGCAAGGAGCCTGCTTGGATTTCTCTCTCACTTCTCTCTCTGCCCCTCCCCCCACCTCTCCATCTCTCAAAATAAATTAAACTTAAAGAAGAAAAAAGGACTAGAGTCTATGATGCAATGGAGACGTTTCTAAGGTACTAATCATTTGAGTCTATGGGATTTGGAACAGTTTCAACAACTCTCTTTTGCAGAAAGCAACTTTTACAAAAATGGCCCGAGAGAGGCTTTCAAAATCAGAATTACTACAGTTCAGTAGAGATTGTCTGTGAATGAAACAAGTTTCTTTCTCTTCCTGTTAAAATGACATTCTCTCAATTTCTCCAGGGAAGACTGATTCTACCTTCCCCAGGGCTGCCCTACAGCTGCCCTGTATGTTATAGCCTATTTCCTGGTGGTTTTCTTTTTCTTGCCTTAAAAAAATCCTGAATACTAAAAGTACTTTGGACTCAGTAATCAGAACAAGATTGTTTAATTAAAAACTAGAAATAGTACTGTTACAGCTGGGATGACTCATCTGGGATTTTATTTTAAATGCATAAGAGAGAAGAGAAAGTTTCACAAACTCAGCATAGACCAAAGTACAGAACCAACGACACCTTTCTCCCCTCAGCAGATCAGACGTAAATTTGTTAAAGATGGCATGGAAGATCAGTTGCCTAATGAGAACGTGCAGATTTCTTCTCTTAGTGATTTTGCGTCTGCCCTGTGAGGTGACAAGTAAGTTCACATTCTTTTGGTCTCTTTTTGAACAAAGAAAAATTTCAGATTAACAAACGATCAGCGGGCATTGGGAAAATCCAAAATCCAAATCACCAAATACATGGCTGGTGTGGCTCCGAGTACAGGAGTCAGGCAACATGATAAAACATTAAATGGAAAAATATTTTTATGGTTCTGATATTACGAGACAGAGTAAATGTTCTGTTCTCTCCAGAGCCATAGCCAGAATTTTCCTACATTTTAATGCATTTCATTACTAATCACATCCCAAAGAAGCTCTGCTGTTTAATTGAACATACCTCTTACAGAAAAATCCTCCCTGTACTTGTTCTCTATCCCAATCTGGAAGTGGATCCCACCCAACCATCCCCACCCACGTACATCTCGTTTTAAAAGTAATACATATTTGGGGTGCCAGGGAGGTTTAGTCGGTTGGGTGTCTGACTTCAGCTCAGGTCATGATCTCACAGTTTGTGAGTTCAAGCCCTACTTTGGGCTCTGGGATGACAGCTCAGAATCTGGAGCCTGCTTCGGATTCTGGGTCTTCCCCTCTCTCTGCCCCTCCCCCACTAGCACCTTGTCTCTCTCTCTCTTAAAAAAAATTTAAAGTAATACATAGTCATTGTAGCAAAAATTAGAAAATATATAAAAGAATAAAGAAAACTAAAAGTCCCCCCAATCCCATCATTCAGAGATGGACTCAACAATATTTTGGTATAGATTTTTCTAGATTAAAAAAAAAATCAGGCTGCAAAGTCACATTATTTTCATCAGTAGTTTATGCATTTTAAAGGAAAATTTCATGTGTTTACAGACTATATTAACAAATGTCATGTAGGGGGCAAGTCTATGGCAGCTAAAGTTATTTTTAGCTTTTGTTAACTTGCTTCTGAACCTGGAAAGTAAAAACTGAAATTCAGGTATGTTACAGTGAATGCATTTCTGAAAATCAGAGAGGAAAACTAACTGTTATATATCCTGATCATCCACTCTATAACTTGTCTACCCTACAAACCAGTTGTTTAAACATCAATTATTTTACCACACTGCCAAAACAACATCAAAACATCAGAAATGCAAGACCACCTTTCCCACAGTCCTATCAGAAATCAGATATCTTTTCAAATAAGCCCTTTTGCCCATATTCAATTGCATGTTCAATTTTTATGTATTTGTAGGAATTATTACAGATGTAAGTTACATTCTGCCTATTTACCTAAAGTTGTGTCTTAAGTATTTTTCAATTTTGTTTTCATTTCTACTTCCCCACTTACCCCCTCATTTTGCTACTTCCAACCCCTTGAAGTATACAATTTAAGTCTGGAAATAATTTCTTTACTTTTATCAATCCTATTCAGTATACACAGGGAGATGTTTCCCCAAAATTTTCCTCATAAATTGTGTGTGTGTGTGTGTGTGTGTGTGTGTGTAAATGAGGGTAATTCTGCACATACTCTTTTCTAATCCAGTAGTTCTCAAACTTCATCGCACATTAGAATAGCCTGAAGGCTTTTTACTAATGCAATGCCCAGATTGCACTCGTATCAATTAATCAGAATGTCTGGGGCTGGGAACCAAGCATCAGTATGTTTTTAAAGATGCCTAGGTGATTCTGATGTGCGGCAAGATTTCATAGCCATCATTTTAACATTTTCCCCTTTTTTAGTTAATAATACATTATTTTTATCTTTATTAATTTATCTTTTTCCTTGTGAAATCATATAGGTCAATATGACTATTTTTAAATATTGCAGAATATTTCATTGTACTGGTGTAACGTGATTTATTTACCCAATGCCTTGTTTATGCCATTCAGTTTGTTCACTCTATGTTAATAGTTTCCTCCTACCCTCTCAGGTTCTGTCTTAACTGTGAATGATAAAACCGAGAACTATATTCTGGACACTTGGCTTGGCTCCCAAGAATCTCTGAAATGTGCTGTTAAAAACCACACCAGAGAGGAAGAACTTCTCTGGTACCGAGGACAGGGGACGGTGGATTTGAAATCTGGAAACAAAATCAACTCCAGTTCTGTCTGTGTGTCTTCCATCAGCGAAAATGACCACGGAACCACCTTTACCTGCAAGCTACAGAGGGATCAGTCGGTGTCCATCTCAGTGCTGCTGAATGTCTTTTGTGAGTGAGGGGAAGAAACTGCGAGTCAGTCTGTGTTATTAAGTGGTACTTGAAATCTGGAGCTAAAGAGTATGTGCATTTTAACATTTGCTTGGTATTGCCAAATTGCCCTACTTATGCTCCCACAACAGTGCAGGTGGATGCCTATTTCCCCACACCCTCGTGAGCACCGAGTATTCTCAACTCTAAGAATTTGCCAGCCTGACTTGAGATTTCATTTTCATTTTCTAAATTACGAATGAGCATGTCCACCTGTTTATCAATGTGTTGGCTGTTCATGTTTCTTTTCTGTGAAATGCCTGTTCATGTTCTTTACCCATTCTTCTATTGGGTTATTTGCCTTTTATTTTTTTTTAAATTTTTTTAATGTTTTATTTATTTCTAGGAGAGAGAGAGACAGCGTGAGCAGGGGAGGGTCAGAGAGAGAGGGAGTCACAGACTGAAACAGGCTCCAGGCTCTGAGCTGGCTGTCAGCACAGAGCCCGACGCGGGGCTCGAACCCACGAACCGCGAGATCATGACCTGAGCGAAAGTCGGACGCTTAACCGACTAAGCCACCCGGGCGCCCCGGTTATTTGCCTTTTAAAAATTGATTTGGATAAGGTCTATATATTAAGGAAATTAACCTTTTGTCATTTGAGATTATAAATATTTCTTGTATTTATTTTTTGCTCTTTTTATAGTTCTTTTTTGGGGGGGCCAGATTGAAATTTTAAATGTTTATTTAAAATCACTGATCTTTTCCATTGTGATTTCTAGCTTTGTGTTCTACTTAGCCATTCATTGGGAATCTTTTTTTTAAACCTTCTTTATTTTTATTTTAGAGAGGGCAGAGGGGCAGAGAGAGAGAGAGAGAGTGAGAGTGAATCTTTTTAAAAAGATTTTTAAATGCTTATTCATTTTGAGAGAGACAGAGAGAGAGAGAGAGAAAGCCATGAGTGGGGGAGGGTGAGAGAGAGAGGGAGACACAATCCAAAGTAGGTTCCAGACTCTGGGCTGTCAGCACAGAGCCCAACAGGGGGCTCAAACCAACGAACCGCGAGATCATGACCTGAGCTAAAGTTGGACGCTCAAACGACTAAGCCACCCAGGTGCCCCCAGTGAGAGAAAACCTTAAGTAAGTTCCATGCTCAGCACGGAGCTTGACGTGGGGCTCAATCCCATGACCCTTGGATCATGACCCAAGCTGAAATCAGGAGTCAGACATTTAACCGACTGAACCACCCACGTACCCTGGGAATCTCTTAACATCACCTTTAAACCCAAAATGGTGAAGCTCTTAGATGGTTGGATTCAGGTATTGGTAACCCACTGCTAGAACTATGTGGGGGTAAGGGAGTCTTTCAAGTAATTCCATGTAGGTGATCACATAGGTGGTTTGGGTAGAAAGCTGGTCCTATGTGAGAGAGGTAAGGATAATGAAGAGAGGGGTGATGTAGGATAAGGTGATGATGTGGTATGAATTGGTGGAAGAGTGAGCTCTGGACTCAGAACCTAGTAATAAAGTCAAAGGCATTTGACTTCATGAGCTCAGCAAACTTTTCGGTGAAAAATTGATGTCATTGCTCTTGAAATAAAAAGGTAGAAAAATGGCCGAAGAACCCAACTTTGGAAAATACTGGCATCTTACAGTTTGAGTTTCCAGAGTGAAATATTTGCATGTTCCTAGGCAAAGGAGCTTTGTTTTTTATTTTCTATGAATCAGTAAAATGTGGTTTTTAGCAAGCTACCTCTTGGCTATCAGGGGATCTTGGAGGTCTTGTAATCTTTATAAAATGACAGATAAGAAAACAGAGGCAAAGATTGAGGGCCCAAATGATCACAGCTGAAGCTGAGAACAGAACACCATTCCCCAGGCGCCTGACTTAGTGTCCTTCCCATTGCACCTTCTTAAAGGAGACATGGCAGATAGGATGTGGTGGCTTCAAGAAATGATTGTCAGTTTTCCAACCTGAATCCATATTTCAGACCACCTTTACAACAACCTCCTAAATATGGCTGTTGCTAAACATATATATAAAAAAAGCCAATTGGTCAGTGATCCGTAATGACAATAATTGGCACAAACTCACTCATCAATAAATCAAAATGAGCTCATAAAAGTGACAAGAATATAACGTACAATTCTGAGGAAGTATTATTATTGTTATAAGTAGCAGGCTGAGAACTACACAGAGGCTTGATGATACACTATTTGGGGGAAGGTGTTCAGAAAGAAGTTTTTTTCATAGAACCAGAACCTTCTTTCACGGTTGCTGCTGAAAGTATAAATCGAGTCCACCTCTTGTACAATTTTTATCAAAATTTAAACGGTGCCGATCCTGTGATCCAATGTTTCTATTTCTAGGTGTTTTAACCTTGAGAAACGTGTGCAACATGTGCTTAAAGAAACATATACAAGGATATTTATTGAAGCATTAAAATTTTAAAAATAAAAATAATGCCCATCAATCAAAATGATTAAAGAGTCTTATACTGTAGCACTCTAAAAGCAATGAGCTAGATCTCTGTGGTTCAAAGTGGATATATCTCAGAAACATGCAAGCTACTGAGAGAATAAAGTATTTTTATATGACTCCTAAAATATACAATGTATTTCCTATTGGTACATCATATGTATAAAAAACTGTTTCTTCAGGACACTTGGGTGTCTCAGTCAGTTGAACTTTGGAGTCTTGATTTGGGCTCAGGTCATGACCTTGTGGTTTGTGGGTTCAAGCCTTATGTCAGGCCCTGCACTGACAGTGCAGAGCCTGCTTGGGATTTCCTGCCTCCCTCTCTCTCTGCCCTTCCCCCACTCATGCGCGCGCGCGTGCGCGCGCGCGCGCTCTCTCTCTCTCTCAAAATTAAATAAAGAGACATTTTTAAGAAATTTGTTTCTTCAAAAAAGATCTGCAAGGATTTACATCAAACTCATAGCAGTGGGTATCTTTGGAGAGGAAGCGAACAAGATGGAATCAAGGAGGACTTTACTTTATCTGAAATGTACTAGTTTTTACAAAAGGGAATACTCACATATAGCTGATATGCTTTAACATTAATCTTAAATGGTTAAATCAAAAGGAAAAACTAACAGGGCATGTCCACAGGTCCTATGGTTTATTTGATAATTACATTCTCTATTGTAGCAGCTTCCTACATATCCAAATGCCATATAACATCCTTGTTGGATATGGATACAGAATTCAAGCTCATTCCAAAGAGCAGCAAAATGTCATTCTTCTGAAAGAGTTATTAATAGCACAGCCTACTCAGGGTCTAATTATTCAGTGTGCAGATTACACAAGCTCCTTTTTTCCTCCTTCCCTGACTCTAGCTCCTTTCTACTGCCCGCTTTGCAAGCACTTTATTATTCTTCTGCATCTGGAGCAGAAAATGCAAGGGGCATGGAAAAGAGGAAGAGTCAGCTCAGGCTTTTCTTCCCCTTGGTGTTGGAAAGCCCTGGTGCAGGTGCGAGTTGGAATTATTTGGTGAATTATTTGTGTTCAAGTATCTGTGTCTCTAAGGACCGCCCTTATAATGGAGGGAGTAAGGACTGGCTCTCCCAGAAGGATGAGAGGGACTCAATGTCACATTCACCATCCATAGATGTCCGAGTTGGCAAAATCGGAGCACCTTCTGGGAGGAGGACATTATTTCTAGAGGATCATTGAGGAAATGCAAATATGCATTGGGAAATCGGGCCAGGGCAAATGCGGTTGATAAAATGCAAAAATAGAGGATGTGAGGAGACCTCAAAACCACCACGGCAGCCACGGCTTCTGCCACCGCCAACACCACCACCATAAAAATAGTAACTAGCACTGTGGTAAATCCTTTACAGGCGTTATCTCATTTAATCTTTACAGCACCTTGTGAGGTAGGTATTGTCCCGCTTTTTAGATGAAGAAAGTGAGCAGTGACTTAGCAGTTAAATAACTTTCTCAAGGTCACAGGAGGTGGTGTAGAAATGGAATTAGGGATAAGTGCAATCCCTGCTTTCTTCATATTATACTGTTTTCTCCAACGTATTAGTACAGATTGGTTTCAGAGCAAAGACTCAAGGCTTATCCTTTTAGGTAGTGTTATAAATTGTCTACTTGGTATAGATTCATTATTATAGACATTTGTTTCATGGTTTATCTTCTCTACTACATAGAAGTTCTATGAGGTTTGGAACTGAATGTGTTATTTACCATTGTATCCCTGGCTCCTAGGCCAGTGTTTGGCATAAAGTAGGAACTTGATAAATTTTTGTCCAATGAATAAATGACTACATGAGACAGACTGAAGGCAGATCTTGAACACTGACAGTAAACTACTGCTTATTCACTAATTAAGCCTACATGCTTGGGTCTTATAGTTCCTCCTCTTCTGAGTGGAGATGACTTGAAAACAGTTGAGGAAGGCAATGATGTGAAGTTGGTTTGCAATGTGAAATCCAACCCCCAGGCTCAAATGATGTGGTACAAAAACAGTACCATCCTCAATTTAGAGCAAAATCACCGAGTCGAACAGACAAGTGAATCTCTTCAACTGTCAATCACCAAAGTCAAGAAATCTGACAATGGAACCTATAGCTGCATTGCAAATTCATCTCTGCAAATGGAGACCAAGGACTTTCACCTCATTGTCAAAGGTAACTCTCTTTTTAAGTAATATCAGCACAGTGCAAAAGTCAGAATAGGTTCTCAGTAAATATTTTGTGTGGCAACAAAGTCATGATGCTAATTAGGATTAATAGCTAATGATTTTCTTTGGAGAATTACCCCTATCCAAGAAATCTCTACTAAGAAATCTAATTCGTGGGGCACCTGGGTGGCTCAGTCAGTTATGCATCCAACTTCAGCTCAGGTCATGATCTCATGGTTCATGAGTTCGAGCCCCATATCAGGCTCCGCACTGACTGAACCATGAAAAGCTTGCTTGGGATCTTCTCTCTCTCCTTTCTGTGTCCCCCCCCCCCCTCCACTTGCACATTCTGTCTCTCAAAATGAATAAGTGAACCTAAAAAAAAGAATTCTAATTCTTCCATTTAGGGGATCATGCCCATTCCATATGAAACACTGCTTTTTGAACACAGGTCCTTTCTAGAACCAAGTGGTAGAAGACAATTCTGGTTGGCTTTTAGGAAGGAGTAATTCCATAAATTCTCCTGGGCCACAAGGTTTGTAGGAACTGGACTTCTGAGTTTGCAGCCTAATGATAAACAGAGAGAGAAGTCAGAAACACATAGAGAAGGGAAGACGGGTGAGAAAATGAATCTAAATACACTCTCAACTCTGAAATTATAATCTATAGGCTAATCAGTAGTGAGGGAGGGGAAAGATGGTGGAAAAATGTCTTTCTCTTGGCTTCATGCCCCATCCACCCAGATTTTTCACCTCTGCAAAACACAGGGACCAAATGAAATTTCGAATGTTCTTCCCTCCTATTTCTCATTCATACAATAAGAGAAAGGGGACCTACGAAGAGAAAGCAAGGAAGACAGTAGAAAGAAATGAGGTCAGAGAGTAAATGGAATAGAGACTAGCATGCCCACATTTCCACTTACCACTGGCGATTGTGGCAAAAATTGACCTTGAGGTGAGCAGCACAAAAAGAAGCTTTCAAGAACGCAGCTGTGATGCCTGGGTAGGAACAGCCATCTTGATACCAGGGTAAAGAAAGCTGCAGTCTTAGCAGAGCAGAAAGACCTGTAGAGGGTGTTGGGTCTCGAGGACTTCTTTAGACAATGCCTCAGCCCAGGAATGTGTTGGGGAGCAGGACAGTGTGGGATGGGACTTAATCGGCAACAATCAAGCCTGTCAATCATTCTTAGCTGCTGTTCCCCGAATCCAAATTCAAAGATAACTTCCTTTTTGATACAGATCCTGCAAGTTCAGTTAAAATATTTAAGTTTTCTTAGATAACATCTCTTTTAATTTGAAACAAACATTTATTAAGACCCTCGAGTGTTAATTTTGCGCGGCGCCTGGGTGGCCCAGTCAGTTAAGCATCTGACTCTTGACTTTGGCTCAGGTCATGATCTCACATTGGGCTCTGCGCCAGGCATGCAGCCTGCTTAGAATTCTCTCTTTTTACCTCTGCCCCTCCCCCACTCAGAGAATGCACTGGCACACTTGCTCTCTTTCTCTCTCGCATGCTGTCAGAAAAATGTTAATTTTTTTTTTTTACAAATAGTTTATTGTCAAGTTGGTTTCCATATAACACCCAGTGCTCACCCCCACAAGTGCCCTCCTCCATGCCCATCTATCCCCTCCCCCCCATCAGTCCTCAGTTTGTTCTCAGTATTCAAGAGTCTTTCATGGTTTGCCTCTCTCCCTCTCCCCTACTATTTCTCCTCTTTTTCTCCCCCATGGTCCTCCATTAAGTTCCTCCTAATCCTCCTATATGTGCAAACATATGGTATTTGTCCTTCTCTGCCTGACTTATTTCGCTCAGCATAACACCCTCAAGGTCCATCCATGTTGCTACACATGGCCAGATTTCATTCTTTCTCATTGCCATGTAGTATTCCATCGTATAGATAAACCACATCTTCTTGATCCATTCGTCCGTTGAAGGACATTTAGGCTCTTTCCATGTTTTGGCTATTGTTGAGAGTGCCGCTATGAACATTGGGGTACATGTGCTCCTATGCATCAGCACTCCTATATCCCTTGGGTAAATTCCTAGCAGTGCTATTGCTGGGTCATAGGGGAGTTCTATTGTTAATTTTTTTGAGGAACTTCCACACTGTTTTCCAGAGGGGCTGCACCAGTTTACATTCCCACCAAGAGTGTAGGAGGGTGCCCGTTTCTCCACATCCTCGCCAGCATCTAGAGTTCTCTGATTTGCTCATTTTAGCCACTCTGACTGGCGTGAGGTGGTATCTCAGTGTGGTTTTGATTTGTATTTCCCTGATGAGGAGGGATGCTGAGCATCATTTCATGTGTCTGTTGGCCATCTGGATGTCCTCTTTGGAGAAGTGTCTGTTCATATCTTCTGCCCAGAAAAATGTTAATTTTGATTGCTGAATACATAGGCAAAAACATACAAAAAAATCTTTATGTTTGTTGTCATGTTAACACTGCCTTTATGCAGCTGAGAGACATATCTGATTATGTCATCTGCAAACTTGGGCAAGCTATGTCAATTTTCTGGTTAGAAAGCCTTAGTTTGGGGACATTCACTAACTCCCTTCTTACTCTGATTGGATATTATTGATCAGTTGAAATAAAATTCTATTTTTCTGAAAAAACAAAACAAAACAAAACAGAAGAGAGAAAGTCAAGATACCTGGTATATGTAGCAGATGCAGAAAATGCTCACACACACATTTCCTGGTCTGAGGCCAGTATGCCAAGAGCAGCCAAACAAGCCGACGCTCCTATTTCATGTTAGAACAGTATTCACGCTGTCGTTTGCCTCCCGTGCCCACTCATTGCCTTTCTTGCTAGTTCCTCGGAAGCCAGATGAAATTCTTGCCAGAAGGGTTGGACCATGTGACCAGAGGGATTATATCCTGCCCCTCAGGGGGGTCTGGGACACCAACAGAGAGGCTTGTGGGAAGGGAGAGCTGCGGCCGGTTGAATGCCCATTACTGTGATTACTGGTGTGTCCAGTAATTTGTCCTGCAGGGAGGGCAGTGACAATACCCCCAGGGGGCTGCCTGCTTTAAAAAATCAAACCCACAAATAACCCAAGTACGCATGGGGTAGGAGTGGCGGAACGGGCAGCTTATTGAAGCTTGTAGCTATTCACCTCCCCACAAAAGCACAGTTGGTGGGGCCTCCAGCCATGCCGTTCCAACTGGCTGTAAAAACTACACGCAGAGATTAGGGGATTATATCATCCCTCTTGGTTAAGAAGGAGTTGTAAGTGACATAAAAAACACACAACTTGTGTGGCAAGCAGGATGTCAGCTTGACAAATTGGCTTTCAGGTGGGCAGGATCCTGTTTGCTATGGAACGCTTCCAAACCAACTTGTTTTTCTTATTTCTTCCTGCTCTATTATTTCCCAGGCTGTCGGCTGCTTTCACAGCATCAAGTGCCCTGCTGCCTGTGCTCAGGATAAATGTGTTTGCCACGAGCCTCTCCTGGCTTCAGGGCTCGGTAGGGTAGTTTCTAAATAGGGCCATGCAAAGCTAGAAGTGTAATCACAGATCTTGAGTGCAAGAGGTTAGCCTGTGTGTTGGGATTATCTTGCATAATAAATATGGAGGGGGGAAAATGACCAAATCTAGTTACAAACAGGAGAGTAAAACGGGGGAGATGCATTTATACTTATGAAAGTCACTTTCATCAAAAACGAAATCCAAAGGGAGTCCCAGCGGATCAGGCAGTTTATTTCAGCTTGTTTAAAGAGTAAAAGCTGTCATTTCATTCAGCTTGGTAAAAATATTCAGATCTTGGACTGAATTCGGATCTTTTCCTAATTGTCCCTCTTTTGCTTCCCCTTATTTCGACATTTTTCCTTGGCACTGAAAGTAGAAAGGGCCCCTAATAAGGTGAAGGCCCTCAGGTGTCTCCCAGGGCTGGCTCTCACAGGGTCCATGCTTACAAGAAGGCCCATGGAGGAGAATTTCTCCAGAATATTGGTGCAGCTCACACTCTCATGAAAAAATTTTTAGTAACAACTAAAAGAGAGTAAGAGTAAGGGATGGTTAATCTACTTACTCCCCAAAAGTATCCTGAGCAGGAACTGGACAAATAGGAAAGAAGAAAACAAGTAAAAGGTTAGTGGTTAGGTGTGTCATATATTTATGGAGGGATAAACCCTATGTTATAATCTTGAGGCAAATAGGTCTTGGGCTTTGAAATGAGATTCATCTAAAGTGTTCCCCTCCTCTCCACCTTTCACCCCTCATATACTTTTTCATGACCAGATGTCCTTTTATAACACTGATCTCAATCTATGGTTTTTGTTTGTTTAATGTCTGTCTTCACTACTAGAGGGTCAGCCCCATGAAGGCAAGAGCCTTCCATGTCTGACCTAGTTTTTGCAGGGCTGAGCACTGTACCTATGACACAATAGTCAGTAAAAATTTTTTGACCCCACTCATTCTATAAACTCAAGGGCACAATAAATAGCATACTTTTATTTCCTATAAATTCCTAAAATATTATCTTAGCCAAGATTGGAGCCTCCCACCACCACCCCTGGGGTGGTATCGAAATCCAGGGGCTTAGGAGAGATCATTTAAATATCTTTGTTGGGGGGCGCCTGGGTGGCTTAGTCGGTTAAGCGTCCGACTTTCGCTTAGGTCAAGATCTCGAGGTTCGTGGGTTCGAGCCCCGCGTCGGGCTCTGTGCTGACTGCCAGCTCGGAGCCTGGAGCCTGTTTCAGTCTGTGACTCCCTCTCTCTCTGATCCTCCCCTGCTCACGCTGTCTCTCTCTCTCTCTCCCCTAGAAATAAATAAAACATAAAAATAAATAAATAAATAAATAAATATCTTTGTTGGGGGGCGCCTGGGTGGCTTAGTCGGTTAAGCGTCCGACTTTCGCTTAGGTCAAGATCTCGAGGTTCGTGGGTTCGAGCCCCGCGTCGGGTTTTTTTTTTTCTGTCAGCTCAGAGCCTGGAGCCTGCTTCAGATTCTGTGTCTCCCTCTCTCTCTGCCCTTTCCCTGCTCGTGCTCTGTCTCCCTTTCTCTCTCAAAAATAAATAACATTTAAAAAAAGAAAAAATAAAATAAAATAAAAATAAATACCTTTGTTGATCTTAAGCACTCTTACTTTTAAAAGTTTCATCCCATGTCATATCAAACATATTAAAATGAAGCACATGGAGTATGCTTTTTGCTGTAAAAGTTTTGAAAGGATGTTTGTAACTTGCATACATTTTGAATTTTATTACATATTAGTTATTAATGTGATTCTTAAGGTTTAAATATCATTATTTGGCTGTTGGGTTACAGTTGACACAAAGTTATGTCTTACAGGTATTTAATCATTTATTAATTTGACCAATCTGCCACTTTATTTTCATATTTTGGAACCAATATGTATTTTTCCAGGCATTTGGGAAGCGTGCAAGCTGTGCCCACAGTGTCTGATGAACAAAATAGCTCTGAATTTACATGGTGTTCAGGAAATGATGGGATGGGTTTTTTTCTTAAGTTTTTAAACATTTTTATTTATTATTGAGAGACAGAGAGAGACAGAGCATGAGCATGGGAGGGGCAGAGAGAGGCAGAGACACAGAATCTGAAGGAGGTTTCAGGCTCTGAGCTGTCAGCACAGAGCCCAATGCAGGACTCAAACTCATGAACCACAAGATAATGACCTCAACCAAGGTGGGTTGCTTAACCAATTGAGCCACCCAGGCACCCCTGGGATGGGTTTTCTTTTCCAGACTGTCATGATTGCTGCTGATCTCTTTCTAACCCAGGTTCTAAATAGACTCTCTGGGGTGCCTGGGTGACTCAGTCGGTGCATCCAAGTCTTGATTTCTGCTCAGGTCATAATCTCACAGTCATGAGATTGAGTCCCACATCGGGCTCTGTGTGACGACATAGAGCCTGCTTGGGATTCTTTCTCTCTCTCTCTCTTTCTCTCACTCTTACCCCTTCCCCACTCACACACCCCCTAAAATAAATAAATAAACATTAAAAAAAGAAGCAGATTCTCTGTTCTTCCATGATGTTTAGAAAGGTATGAAAATCTTTGCCAAGGTTGGAAAGGCTGCTCAGAGTCCCATTTCCCTAGGGGCACTGTGCAGCCATCTTGTATAATGTCCTTTCACCTGCATGGGGGACTATCACAGTACAGCTACAAGGGTCCCCTCTGCTCCTGGAGCCCACAGGCCTCTCTTCCCTTAGTCCAGCAGGCGTCTCAGCTTTTCTTGCTCTTAAAGCCTTCCTTCCTATGTTTCTCCCTTGGAGACATCTCCCAGTATCTTCTGGGCTTTCAAAGGGCAGGAAAAACCATTGATTTTAGTCTATCTCTGCCTTCTGCATGGAAAACTTTTGGATGAAGAAAGCACAAAATGGTCTGACTACCCACTTTGGGGGAATGATTCATATTATAGTAAGTTATCCTTATAATAATAAATAAATCCACAAAGGGACGGATTCAAAACCTATCTCTGCTAGTTACTAGTTCTGTGACTTTGGACAAGACGCTCCTCACTGTAACCATACTGTAAAATGAAGTTATTAATACCTACCTTGTTAGGTTGTTTGGAGGATTTAATTAAGAGGATGATATATGTTGAGTGCAAGGCGCCATGGCTGGGACTTAGTAGAAACATATAAATTAGAAGCATATATATGTTAGCTCTTATTTCCTGTGTTTGCATTTCCAACAGATAAAGCTGTGGCTATTCCAATAGAACCCATTATTGCAGCGTGCATTGTGGTCTTTCTGACATTGTGCTTTGGACTGATTGCTAGAAGAAAAAGTATAATGCAGGTATTGAAGTATTCTAAGATATTTATGTAAAAAGTCATCTAAATACAAGCAGAGAACTGGCTACATAAGCGACTCTAGAATTGGGAACCATACTTGGACAATCTGGTCTCTCTAAAGACCTAAAATGGAAGTTGCTCAAGGGCATAAAAATTGTATATATGTTATAAGGATGGTTTTAACAAAAGAATGGTAGCACATATGGACAAAACCTGAATGAAAATAGCTGTGGTGTTAGGAGTAGGGGATTGGGGCCTGATTTTTTCTTCCTTTTAAATTTCTCTTTATTGTTGCCATGGTACCTCTGGTAAAATAAATAAATACACAGGGGAACATCTGCTGTGGGTTCAGAGATCTGCATGAAAAAGGTGGCACTTTCTGCTCACCTCCTGAGCACAGCCACAACAGGCAGCTGCAGCAGCTGCCGGGGGGGGGGGGGGGGGGGGGGGGGGGGGGGGGGGGGGGNCTGTGAACGGAACTCGGTGTTTGGATGACGTGCAGGCACGTCGGTTGTGCAAAACAGCCTATCTCCACCTTCGGTCTCCCACCCCAGACCCCGGGGGGGGGGGGGGGGTGAGGGGGAAGGGGAGGAGGGCAGACGCTGGACTCTGAATTGTTGACTAGTCATCTTCTTGGTTAGCTTGATGCAGAGCATGTGTGTGTATTGGTGAATGCCTTGCATTTGGCTCTACCAGTTAATTCAGTGCCAAAGGGAGGCAAAAGGGGAAGAGAGCCTCAAAGGAGAGGCCAGTATGGTCCAGGCTGAGTTAATTACACAGCGAGAGGCGTTCTCTTTGAAATATTTGGTAACTGGGTGTAATTCAGGACAACAATGTCTTCCAAGAAGAAATTCACCCAACCCCTGGTTCTAATCTAAGGCAAATTTTTCCTACAAAAGGAAGGAAGGAAGGAAGGAAGGAAGGAAGGAAGGAAGGAAGGAAGGAAGGAAAGAAAGAATCAACTACCAAAGAATCCTGGAAGCATTTTAATTCAAGGATTATATCTCTGTAGGTTCAATACAGAAATCATTAACATTGCCAAAGACATAAGACCTGGACTAGTGCAGAAGTGTCTGTATTTCCAGGCACCTCTATATTGTGTATTTTTCTAGGTAGGAGATTAACAGACATTTGGGTTTCCTATCCCCTGAGCCACCTTGGTGCATTCAAAATGTTTATCCACTGCCTTCGAAAAGCAAGCAAACTCATTGCCCTTGTGTTTGGTTTTAGCTCTGCATAAAGGATGAAGATCCGCAAAGAGACACAGCTTTGTAAGTACTCTGGGCTGGGGCCAATGATTTCCCAGAAGCAGATGGGTAGCAGTGGTGTACAACGTAAAGCCCATCCTGGGCAAACTCCTCCTGAGATGGGAGAGGTGCTGGAAGGTGAAGAGGTTCAGACAAGAATGGAGGGTGGAGGAGAATTTGCCTTCACTTTATAGGTAGACAGGCGGGGCTAGGTTGGAAGGTTGCCTAGGACGGGAGAGTACCGTTGGTCTTAAGCCTGCTCTCTGCTTGGGAAGTTTTGGGCTAATGTTTAAGCAGCACCTGCATTGTATTGCCACATGATGTAAATGACTGAGAGGGCCTATCCTGGGGGAAGCCACGCTACAGTCTCCCTCACAAAGTCGGAAGCCACAGTCCTCATTCTGAATACTGCCTAGTCTGTTGGCTCCAGCATTGGAGAAGTAAGCAGTGGGTTAAAAGAACAAAGGCATTCCTTCCGAGAGCATGACGCTGTTTTGTGCAATTGTCAATGGGATCAGTTTCTTGATTTCTCTTTCTGTTGCTTCATTATTGATGTATAAAAATGCAACCAATTTCTGTACATTGATTTTGTACCCTGCAACTTTGCTGAATTCATGGATCAGTTCTAGGAGGCTTCTGGTGGAGTCTGTCGGGTTTTCTATGTAGAGTATCATGTCAGCATGATTCTTGGTTTGAATTTTTTTCTCATTGCTATGATCATTATTATAATTAATTTCTTGGTTCATTTCAGATGAGAAAGCAGAGATGCCATCTAACACAGCAAGAGTTTTGCATCAGGACTTCCTTGATTTATGTAGTCCCATCTGTATTTATTGCTATTATTAAATTCACTCCTGTCAAATTGTCAGAGGTTATGAAGAAGTGTTTCATTAAGCACTGAAGAGTAGTTGTTATGACTAATTTGATATACTTGCTGAACATTTTTATGGAGAACACTATTAAGAATGAAAATTAAGATTCAGTTAAGGCTTCTCCTTGAAGGGTGTGTTAATTAATTGAGATTGGTTCCAGAAAGGTTGGTAAACATTTAGCATATATCTTCTACGTAGGAGATTAATGGACATTTGGGTTTTACAAATAAGTGTAAAACCAAAATCAAAAGGGGAGCTGAACATAGAGTGATCGATATTTTAAGTTTGCCAAGAAAGCACATAAATAATATCAATTATCATCTACTTTTGCTGCCGTTTCATAAAAGAAATGTTTTAGAACTCAAAAAAGGAAGGATGCAATCTCAGAATATAAGGCACTCCTTTAAATGGAATAAATTTAGCATTATGAAAAAGTCAGCATATGTCCTTATTTTTCTCCGCTCATCGTGGTTTGGTGACACAGTCACAGACTTGGTGAGCTTTACGCGGTGATGGGACAAAACTCACGGGGCACGGGGGCCACAGTGGGTCTGTTCACAAGCAGCCTTTGCCCTTTCGGAGCAGTTCCTTGCCTGGATCCAGGGACAATAATTATGAATCAGCCTGTACTCTTCTCATATACCTCAGTTTTAAGTTGAAGCTCTTCTAATTTGTCTTATACTTTGCCCACTTCCGTTCTTTTTTCATTCTTTTCTCTTAAGAGTCTCTGGTTTGCTTTCCCACACAGATGGGATGCTGAGGCCATCCTGGCCAGAACAACCTTTTTTATTTTTATTTTTTAGTTTATTTTTTGTTTTGAGAGAGCACACAGGGGAAGGGGAGAGGCAGAGAGAGAAGAGAGAGAATCCCAAACAGGCTCTGTACTGTCAGCATGGAGCCCGATGGGGGGCTCATACCCACAAACCTTAAGATCAATGACCCGATCTGGGGCGCCTGGGTGGCTTAGTCGGTTGAGGGTCCGACTTTCGCTTAGGTCATGATCTCACGGGTTCGTGGGTTCGAGCCCCGCGTCGGGCTCTGTGCTGACTGCCAGCTCGGAGCCTGGAGCCTGTTTCAGAGTCTGTGTGCCTCCCTCTCTCTCTGACCCTCCTCTGCTCACGCTCTCTCTCTCTCTCTCTCTCTCCTAGAAATAAAGTAAAAAAAAAACATAAAAAAATTAAAAAAAAAAAAAAAAAGATCATGACCCGATCTGAAATCAAGAGTCAGATGCTTGATCAACCTGGGAGCCCCCCAGAACCACCTTTGATGTCCCTGCCATACGCACTTTCTCATTTAGAGAAAAACAATTTTTTTTGGTCTAATATTGCAGTAGCTAAATGTGCCATAGCAAGAGAGAGATGTGCTACCAGATAGGTGGTTAAAAGCTTCTATTGATATGAAAGCAAAGAGAAGAAATGAACGGAATATACGAAATCTGAATTGTCTTGTTTGTAAGAGGGACCTCCCCCCATCTTCTCATTAGGCTTCTCTCTGCTTCCTTGGAAAACTTCTGCATGAAATGGAGAGAGAGACTATTAAAGACTATGATTTACAGATTTCTCTATCTGGTTGGAAGCCCCAGCAGGCTTTTGAGGGATTTCAAATCATGTTCCTCATTCAGGATTTCTCAAAGTAGAATTTGGAAGCCCTGTGAAAATGGTGTAAGAACAAAGTAGGAGGAGTGTGAAAATCTGAAAGTTTAGACAATTAAGGAGAAGCCTGGAGACTAAATGGAAAAAACAGATCTCAGGCAATGGTGGGTTGGGATAGTTTAAAGTAGAAGAGGAAACAGGGAAAACTTACTGCACCATATCTAATTTGACTTAGAATACAAGAGACCTGAATTCCAGTGTTGGCTGTTTTATTTTGGACAAGTCCTTTTCTCTCAGGTGTTTGAAAAATGAGAAGGTTGGATTAGAAGAAGGAATAGGATTAATTTTCGTGTTAAATTTCACGTTAATTCGTGTGATTCTTAAAAGATTCCCAAATAGTTTGGTTAAATGCTGGAAGGAGTTGGCAAGGAAAACTGAAAACGTAATACCTTTGCCCTACCTAGTAGAAATATGAATCAGCTTTGTTCTAGGACATATAGCAATTCTTGAGTATTACAGGTCATCAGTAGAGAATTTCATCACCCTTATAAACTACAGTGACCTTGTACATTAGCACAGGCGAGCAACATTAACTAGTTTTAACAGAGCATAGCAATATTGTAAGTGGTCACTGTATTTCATTTTGCCTTATAGTTTTGAAAAAAACCCAGAGCCTTTATTAAAAACTGTGCTATCACTTACTTATTTATTTTAAGTTTATTTATTTATTTTGAGAGAGAGACAGAGACAGAGTGTGAGCAGAGGAGGGGCAGAGAGAAAGAATCCCAAGCAGGCTCCCTGCTATCAGCACAGAGTCCAATGCGGGGCTCAGTCTCACAGACTGCAAGATCATGATCTGAGCTGAGATACAGAGTCAGACGCTTCACTGACTGAACCACCTACGGTGCCCTCCAAAACTGTGTCTATTATTTAAAATTAGAAGTTTAGCCTAGGGTGCCTGGATGGCTCAGTCAGTTAAGAGTATGACTTTGGTTTAGGTCATGATCTTGCAGTTCATAAGCAAGCTCCATATTGGGCTCTGTGCTGACATCTCAGAGCCTGGAACCTGCTTTGGATTCTGTGTCTCTTTCTTTCTGCCCCTCTCTCACTCGTGCTCTCTCTCTCTCAAAAAAAAAAAAAAGAATAAACATTAAAAAACAAATTTAAAAAAAAGTTCAACCTAGAAACTGACTTAGAAGGATGTGAAATTCCAGAACTTAAAAGAAGTCCCCATAGCCTTTCCCTAAATGTGTTCTAGATCTACTATGAGATACTTGAAATGCCAACATTTATTATTAGTCTGTTTTTGACACTTTGGACTACAGTTACCAGTGCAGAAATGACAGACAAAGCCAGTTGCTCCCTTTGCAACCTTTCTACCAATAGGGACACCTTTTGTAATGATCATTTCTCTCCTTCTTGGGCCCCATTAAAAAAACAAAACAAAACAAAAAAAACTGGTCTACCGAGCAGCCTGTATCTATTAAATAATAGTAATCTGCTTTCCCCCTTTTTAAAACATCAGTGATATCTACTCGCCAGTCTGAACTTCTTTTATGATGACACAATTACCCGGTTGATGTAATTTCATTTCAAAGCAAAGAAATCTGGTACTTTACTGAACGTGGGCAATCTTTCATGGGTTAAAAATATATCACTGCCATTAGGTTTTTTGAATAATTGAAAATAGTTTACAGACTCCTTTGTTCACCAATTTTACCCCTGTTATCGCTACCTTGAATCTACTAGCCATAAACTCAAATTCTGACAGGAGTCAAGCAGATCAGTGAAATAGTGAAGATGTAAAACAATAGAGTGGTGGGATCTGTGGCAAACGGAGAGCACATCTTTGTCTAAACAAGGGTTAACAGCTACCATTCAGACCGATCTTCTGATGCTTGAGAGAAGTCAGAACTCTGAATTTGCATGTGTAATTCTTCTAATAAAAAAAACCCAGGTTTTTTGTTTGTTTGTTTGTTTTAATCCTGGATGTCTAGGAGTAGAAGAATTCTCTCACCCCAATATATGCTAATCTCTGTTAGTTAAGTTCCAATCCAGTGTTGCCTTGGGCTTTCATTGTCTTGTGGAGATTTCTGTGAAACAGCTCTTGTAATTTTCACACCTATCCTTCTTTCCCCCAAAGCTCAGGCAGGATCATGAGGATCATGAGGACAGTTCGTGATACCATACTGAAGACTTGACCTGCATTATTTGATCCTGTGAAAAACCTTTATGGAGTACTCATGGCTGTTCCAACTTTGATGATGAGGACACCAGGGCTCAGAATGTTTAAGTGACTTATAGAGAATGACTAAGCTAGGATTCATATCGGGCGGATCCAAAGCCTGGGGCCTGGAATGGGGGAGAGGATATCACAGGAGGGACAAAGGTTGAATAATAAAGACAAAGTCACTTCTCTCATATATTTCAAGAATGATGTCCAATCCTACTTCTAGTAACCTATGTATACATTAAATATTTTAGTAAGTAAAGGGGATTTAAAACCACGTTGGCCGGTGAGCATTTTGAAGATGTGACAACACTCCCTGAGATCACTTGCAATG